AGACTGACTGGTTGGCAGATCTCATCTCAGACGTCTGGAAGAAGCCTCCTCACTTGGCCGGCAGGCAGATGGTCCTAAACAGTCCTAAAGTCAAACTGAGGACTGTTCCAGCTTTACTGGAACATTCAAGAACATTTAGATCAAATCTAATCCAGCTAAAACATTCAGGACTTCCCTTTATTTCACTCATCAGTTTATTAGACAACATATATGAATATCTCTCTTAATGTATCAGAATTAGCCTGAACAGCAGTTTTTCATCTGCTGTCCTCAAACGCACCATAATGAGTATTTTTTTATGTTTTTAGGGAGTTTTTATGCATCAGGACCATCTGAGAACAAAAATACTGCTGTTTAGTGGAAACGTTAAAACTGTTGAATATATGTTCACAGCCTGTTCTCAGGTTTCTACAGGTTGTCAAGCTAATATGCTGCATATTTCAAAGGTTAAATGGGCCTAAAGCAGGAACCAACATGCAGACCAGCGATGAACCCAATGAGTGGTCTGGATCAGGTGCCTCCAACGCTGGCCTTCCAGGTTTGGAAGCAGCAGCTGAGTCAGATGAATGGCTGTTTAGCAGACCTTTGCTAAACCTGAGGGCAGCTGAAGGTAATTCAGTCCCTGGGATCAGCTGCTGCAGCAGGGAGGCATCGAAAAGCTGCAGAACAGGAGATGTTGATGCATTGGAGGGACCTTAGGAGCCGCCGTTCCCTGATTTCTGACCTGACGACAGGTGAGCTGCTCACCCTGTTCCTCTGAACGATGATTAAATGCTGTGCAGAGGTCAGACAGAGCAGCGGCGCTCCTCCTGCTTTCCAGCTGATGTTTCAGGCCTGCAGCCAGGAGCTACAGAGAAGGAGTTGCTCTGTAACCTTCAGGATGAGCTGAAGCTGCTCTGCGCCTTCAGCCCGTTTCCAGCCGCTATCAGCAGCGGGTCTGTTTGCCTGGCCTCGGGTCACTGACAGCCGCTCGCATGTTTGGTTGCTGGAGACAGATAAGGCGTCTCTCCACCCACCTAACTGCAGAGTTTATCGCTCTCCACTGTGTCTGTGTGCGTAGAAGTGAGCATGCGGTGATAACCCCTGGACCCGGCGCTGGGCTGCGGCTGTTTACGGCGGCTCACATCAAAGCCGGCTCAGTGTGCAGGCGGTCAGCGGACCGAGCTGCACACGGCCTGTGAGAGGCTGTGTGTTTTCCCAGTCAATAATCCTGAACCCAACAAGGCCTGAAGCACTTCTGTTGAGTAAGATCTTTGATGCCACAGTCGAAGCTGTCGGTGGGAGCGCAGTGTTTGCCTTAGATAGCTGCTCTCTACTTTCACTCAGTGCTGATTTTTGATAACGGGAAGAAACAGAAAGCGTGTTTGTTGTAGAGTTTGCTTTTACAACTGGAGACAGAAAAACTATTTATAACTTGAATGTTTCACACAAACATCTGTCTGCAGAGCCTCCCTGGAACTAAAAGGATTCAGACTTCACTATTATCATCTGAGCGTCGTGTTGAATTCCTCTCCAAGCGGTTCAGTCGGGGTTTGAAACAACGCTCCCTCTGTTCGTCTTCTGCTCCGTACTCTGGAGAGAAGCTCTCTGGGTAAATCCTAACCAGCCACATCCTTCCTTCCCAGATAGAATCAAATGTTTCCTGACGTCTCGCCAACAAACAGGCCGAGCCTCTGATGGCCGAGCGGGGAAAGGCTCCAACAAGCAGCTCCTAATAAATAACCGGACAGGAAGCTCCAGGTGTGAATCAGGTGGATGACTGTGAGGAAGAGTCCGTCTCTGAAGCGCTCTGCTGGCGGATATTATTAGTAGTTATTTGTTACACAGCTTTATAATCTAGCTGTAACTTTAAATGCTAAATATGGTTCCTGCAGGAAAACCAGACTCCTTCGCAGGTCGATGCGTCATTTTAAATCTAAATCATTTCTTTGACCAAAGCAGTCTTTTTTTTTTAAACTGACCACTAACAGACATGTTTAGGTTCCAGAGTTTCATGGTTTTCATGGTTGTTTCTGTCCATCGTCACTAAACTCTGCTGCTGGGTGGAACAGAGAGAACGTCTGCCTCAGCTGATCGGCCGCCATGTTTCTCTGACGCTCAGACTTTCCTCCATGGCGGCTGCTTGGCTTTGTTCTCACACTGAATCCTGATGTTTGGCTCTGAATTCATCCGTTAACATCTGGATGTTTCTGTCTGAGAGAGATGGAGCGATGATGAAGGGATGACAGGCGTGCCCTGGAGATGGACAGCAGTAATGATTTCTATTTTATATAATTTTACTATTTTAATTTTAGTTTCCTGTAACAGTCCAAACTCTCAGCTCTGGTAATTGATTTCCCACTGATTGGTTTTTCCTGCTCGGCCTCTCAGTCAGCAGATCCTTGACCTTTGACCCTTCAAAGTTTTCCTTCTTCGTCTCTAAAGCCGTTTCTATCAATAAACGCTTTCTGACTCATAGTCTCTAATCGGGACGGTAATTCTGCAGATTTTATTTCTCAGAAGGCGCCTCACTAACACATAGGTGGCCTGCAGCCGCTTCACCACGATTATTTACTGACGTTTGTTAATCTGATGCGACGCGCTGGTCGCAGGAAAAGGAAGATAAATGTTGATGCATGAGGCTCATTATCGCCCCCTGCAGGGCGGGTGTCATCAATGATCAAAACCTGAGTTTCTGAAACTAGATTTTTAAAAATGAAGATTTCATTTTTATACCTTTAATTTCCCCATATTGATATATATAAATGTGCTGAGGCATACATCTATAAACAAAAACAATAACCTTAGCGGCAGAAAATGAACTGTAACGCCGCAGTGATTTCCTGCAGCAGGTAGTTCATCGCTCTGCGTTTCAGATGCAGTGTTTCCATCCTGGAACACATCATCAGGTAGGAGGAGCTTCAGCTGCGTGGAGCTGACACCCCACTGACACCATACAAACTCAGCATATAGACTGAATGGTTATTGCTTCTTTAGGGCAGGTTTAAGCATTTAAAATGGTCATTAGGAAAAATTAAAAAATAAATACCAGCTAAATATAAAATCATATGTGCTGCTGTTGTTTCAGAGATATTAAACATTATTTTTTAGGTCACCCAGAGGTCAACTATCCCCCCATTAAGCTCCAAATTGAATCCAAATGATCTAGCCTATTTTTTCAGAGCTGCTTCATTTCTGCAGATAAAACTATGGTTTGTTTTTTAGATAGAATTATTTTTTATAACGGCCGATGACGTCACCGTCCCAGCAGATCTTTGCGCTGCGCTCGTTTCCTGATATAAAGTTATTTCATAACATCACATGTCATTCCTGAACATAAGTGGGCATGTTGACCTCATTTAGAGGCTGGAATGATTGTTTATTATTCAGTAAATCACCAGCCTCCCAGGCCTCAATACTCTTTTCAACTCTTTTAGGATTTTCATAGAGAAATGACCTAGACATGAAACGCGAAATGTCATTTAGCACAGCTTTCCTGACAGTAAATGAACATTTCCATTCCATAAAATGCAGCAGTGATCAAATGTAAACAGTTCAGGATAAAAACTGGAAGTTCAGAGCATTAATATCTATGGTGCAAATCTGCAGTATTGTTGGTTTGGTGTCATCAGTGTGATGGCGGTGGGGAAGAAGCTGCTGCAGAACCTGCTGGTCCTGCATTGAATGCTGTGAAGCCTCTTCCCAGAGGGTAGCAGGGAGAACAGTCCATGGTGGGGGGGTGGGGGGTCATTGATGATGTCACGGGACACGCAGCGCTGGGATGAAATGCCTTTCATTTTTACTTCTACAAAAAACATTTGATTTACCATCATTTATTAGAGAAACGTTCCAAGTGAGAGAAACGGAATAACTGAGCGTGAAGCTTTTGTTTCCTCATGTTTTTAAATGTGGCATACACTGCCCCCCCCCCCCCATATGGGTGCGCATAAACATCAGCCCAGTCATGTTGGTGAGTTTCTAAGATGTTTACTGGACTCTGCCAATAAACAGAAAAACGGTCGACACCAGGCTCCTCCGCTGTGTCTAACAATTAAAGATGCTAAAAGAGGATCTGAATTTTAAGCTAGCTGCTGAAACACTGTCTGCTTGGTGAACTGAGCAGTGGGTTAGTGTGTGTGTCAGACCTTGGCCTCAGTCTCCCCACGATGCAGCGTATAGAGATGGTGGACAGCGCTCTGCGAGGACGCCCAGGGATGGGTGAGGATCTGGAAGACGTGGAAGTCATGGCCCAGCGTGTCCGCGGTCACCAGAAGCATTCCTGCAATCAGGACACGGCATCAGCCACACCTCCATCTAGGAAACCATCTTTTCTTTAAGGTCGTATACGAGCTGGTGTCGATAACAGGCTTAAGGAGGATAGCATAATAAGGGATTAATAGTGTGGGAAATTTTATTCTCCTTGTAAAAAATATAAATGGAGAAAGATCAATATTTGGGCATCAGAGGTCAATGGATGGAGCTGTTTGGGTCCAAGTTGCTCATCGCCTCTGGCTTCAACCGAGCCGCTCTGTGCAGAACCTCCGGGCTTCACGCTGCAGCGGAGCGGAGAGAGGAAGGCATGAAAGCACAGCAGAGGACTTGGTGGAGCTGGAACAGCTCAGAAATAACCGATATGAGGAGTCAGTACTCATGTCTGCTGAACTAATTCCTTCTTTCAGTTACTGGCTAGTAGCCAGTCGGTCTATGATGTCACAGGTACTTCAAAATCAGGTAGTTTTAGTCCAACTGTTGAATAAATATAAATAAAACTAATAAATATAAATGAAACTTAATGCAGCAGAAATATGAAGTTGATCTTATGGTAGGAGGTAGAGGTACTACTACAGCGTGTTTTTGCTCAAGTTAAAGTAAAACAAGAATAATCAATAAATGACTGAAATGAAAACTAGTGATGAACTGAATAACTGCTGGATTCTGTTTTGATTAAAATGACGTAAACAGGCAATAGAAATGATTTATTATTATAAAGGACATATTGAGGCACAAGAAACATTCTTATTAATCCCTTTTATTCAACATTTAGGTTCAGTCCTTCCTGTAGGCGGGAGCCGTTTCATCACGTCTTTAAAAGAGGAAACTGAAACCTTTGATTTCAGCCGATCTTCACAAACTGCTCTGGCATTAGGGATCATCTGGCAGCTTTAGCCGCTTCGTTTACTCCTCTACTGTCCGACGTGGCCGCCTGTGACGGGCCACATGCGGCCCGTGGGCCTCCAGCTGATCTTCAGCAGCTACATATAACAATTTACAGAACTGCAATACTTCAACAAAGTAATAAAGTAAAAAGGTACTCTGGCAAATAAAAGAACTTAGTATGCACCTCAGTATCTGTTGTCAGTTTACCAAACTAAAGCTACATCAGATGTCCAACATATGTGGTACCAGCCTGAGCAGCAGTAAGTTCTCTGACATGACGATCAGCTGTAATCTCAATACTTTGCTAAGGAGGCGTTGATCAGAAAGTCAGGAGGTTCTTCTTCTCTGCTTTGGACCACATAAAGTCAGCGACCATCGGCGCAGCAGGAAAGATGGCAGACAGTGTGACGGAGCAATTGTGCCTTTAAAGCAAACAAACATGTCCATTAAACCAGCTGCTGTCATAAAAGTCAGCTTTGATAGCTGGGTCGGGCTAAGTGCAGGGCTGCAGAGGATGATAAGCATCTGGAACAGAGAGCGCTGCAGCATCTATCCATGAGGAGTCCTGCCGGCTGTGTGCACGCACACGGAGAACCAGAGAAACCCTGAACCACAGCTCAGCACCGACAGGCTCATTCATTTGGCCCCATTACAGTTCAGACTCGTCAAACGGCAGAAAGTCACCATAAACAACATGCTTAGCAAACCACACCAGAACAAACCGGCTCTGAACTGGTTTGGCTAGCCCAGCTCAGACCCAGAGGGAGACGACTGTCCATCCTGGAGACTCCGGTAGTACTGAGAGGATCAGCCCTGCTGCTCTGGGACCGTCGGTCCTGTTAGAGCAGTTTTCATTATGGGCCGTCGATTGGATGGAGAGGAGGCTGGAGGGGGGGAGATGTGCAGAGTGGATGGAAAACACCGTAAAAAGAAACATTACACGGCTAACACATTTAGCTAACTCATTCTCCCCCCATCCAACATGATGCAGAGGTGGAATGGGGGGGCTCAGAGGACGGTGGTTAGTTTTTCATGCTGTATCACAGCGACCAGAGAGGCAGAGCTAAGGCCCAGGGCCTGTAAACTCTTCAAACCCACACCCCAAACGAGGTGCCAAGCCACAAGAAGCATTTGCGTCAACTGGGGATCCAGAGAAAAAAGGAACGGGGCCCTTCTAATTATAGAGTCTGGAAACGGAAGCGCGGGGTGATTAGGAATGGAGGCGCTGCGGTCTGTTTATCTGGGAGCTTCCTCTGGCTCTCAAAGCCTCCCTCACCCACGCTCCGCTCCTTCTTTTAGTCTTCCTTTGCTCTGTTTTGGCCAAGCCCTGCCCTCCTAGCCCTCTGGCTCTCTGCTTGCTGATTTCTGGTCTGGGCCGGCGTTTCTCTTCTGTTGACGATGGAGCTGGGGCTCAGCAAGGCTGCAGCTTGGTGAGTGTCAGAGCCCCAGGAATGGGGATTTTGCTGCAGTGTTGAAATACAGATGCGCTCACCAAAGGCGTCAGTCGGTTAGGCCGCAGGAAGGCCAAATTAAAAAGTAGCTGAGCCACTTGGCGGCGGAAAAGACGGGCTTTGAGGGAAACCACAGGCTGGCCAGGGCACGGTTTGACACATCCTATTTATAACACCTTGTCTTGGAGCTCACCGAGCTATTTGGGAAGATTTAGTGCTAAAGGTTGCTGGCACACACTGTGATGGAGGAGATGACCTCTAATTTGCCATGTGTGAGACATGCATACATATGAAACAGCAGGGAAATTAAATAATCACTTCCATAAATGTTTGCCCCCCCCACACACAAAAAGGAGTCTTTTGTTTTGTTGCTAGCTGTAGCGTCCCTCCCCGGGCAATCACAACAGAAAACATCTGCTCTGCACCAGTGGGCCGACATGCATTCACAGAGTGGTGGTTTGCTCTCTATGCAGGCGTCAGACGTCCTGCAGCCTCCTCGGCTCCTCTGGCCCTCACTCTGGGTACCACCTTGGGTGGGTGTGGACCAGGCCTTCTGCTCTGCAGAGCCATAAAACAATGGATGGCAGCCTGGCTAAGCTTTTTACAGCATTTTATTATCATTCCACTGTCACACGTACATAGCAACGAAATTCACCTCTACGTTTAACCCCTCCCCTTGGGGAGCAGTGGGCTGCCATTGAGCGGTATCCGGGGAGCAGTGGGGGGGTTAAGGGTCTTGCTCAGGAACCCAGAGTAGCAGTCTGTGGGATTAGCAGCCTAGTAAACTAGTCCCACCCGCCAGCGGCCAAAATCATCTTCGCCTGCAGTGGTCTAGCCTCGATCGATGCCCCAGGCCCTAGAACTGGCCGACCAATCACAACGCAGAGATGTGTTTTGAATGTCTGGATGCAAAGTGGGCGGGGTTTGAGGACGTGACGACAAAGCTGCACAATGCTGGAGAAAACACAATGAGGAAGATGGCAGCATTTATTGAACAGTTCTGGTTTGACTCAGCTTTGGAATCAGTTCTGGAAGGATCAGACTTTGGGTTTCCGTGGAAACGTGAGCAGGAAGAGGCTCTACGCTCATTTATTTTATAGAAGGACGTATTCGCCGTTTTACCCACAGGCTGTTTGTTTCCACGCCCCCACCAGCTTCCTGTCACACTTCCTACATCACAGTCAGTGAATCTCATTGGTCAGAGCGTTGGCCAATAGGCACAGACATGGTTTGAAAGACAACGGGTTGTTCCCATCAACAATCTTCCGATGTCTCGTCCATCAGGGCCAGACTAGATTACACATTTAATCTACCATTTAATCTGGTTTATCAGACTATGGGAATGGGGCTCAAACTCTGAACCTCTGGATTCCAAGTTCTACACCCTAACCACTAGGCCACTGCTCCTCTAGTGGAGAACTGGGAGCCGGTACCCTGCGAGGGATCCCGGGGTCCAACCCTGGATGACTGTTTAATCCCAGCTTCAAGATCAAACTGTGTCCCATTAAGGCCGTGCTGAAAGGGGGGGGGCACCCAGTTCAAGCTGCTCTGTTAGCCATGGAAACAATGCTGGTAAAAATGTGCTCTGATCACATGTAAATAATCTATCTGGATGCATGTTCTAGACAGTCCAAACAGCCTTATTGGCGTTAACCTCCAAAGGTTCTGGCATATGCGGCACTTTGTCTCTCTGGCTGATGAAAGCTGCAGAGGTGGGGGCGGCCATGCCTCATTACATGTACAGCGGGCTGAAACCAAGGGTTGTGTTTTTCTCTGCGCTCCACCAGCGGCCCACCTGTGAGCACTCACACATTAATAGGGATGAAAAAAGGTGTTTTTCTGCGGCCAACCTCGCTGAGAGGCCGCCATTAGTTTGATATTTTAATGCTGGAACGTCGGCCGCTGCAACAGGCCAGAAGTCGCTGGGCTTTAAAGCGGCGCTGAGAAAAATGCAGGCGCTGCAGCGGTCGAGTTCACAAAGCATGACTGTTTCTAAGGTTTGGTCTTTCATCAGCCGGGCGGAAAACACTCCACTTAGGTCCAGTTTGATCCAACATTGACATATTTGCACACTTCCTGTTGGGGTTGTTTTAAGAACAGAGCTTTCTACGGCACACTGGCACATGCAAGGTGGCTGTTCCCAACAACAAACATGTTTTCTAAGCAGTTCACAGAGAGTTGAAACAGCAGAGATTAAATCCTCCAAACCACAAGCTAAAAACTAGAAGCTGGTCAGTAAACAGAGACACCGCACAGCTCATCTTATTTATTTCATTTCCCTCTGAGAATCAGGAACGTCTCAGTATGTCTTAGTTTTTTATCTAAAGTCAAATTTGACTGAGTAACAACTGTTCATGGTTATCAAAAAGATCTTGAGATGCGATGTTTAGACATTTAAACAGGACAAAACAAATCAAATCAGCATCTAAGGCTTTTAAAATGTTTTTAAATGAACGCAGTGGAAGGCAGTAATGTCTCCTCAGGCAGGATACCGGATCAGGATGATAATATGGTGAAGATTCTCAGTCATCCAGGTCAGAGTCATTCCAAAAAAGTTAGAAACAAACCACTGGACTTTGTTTCCAAGTTTCCAAACATGCAAACTGAACCGGGATAACAGGTCCGTCGCTTAGTAAAGGAGAGATGGACTCAGGTCTCAGTTGATTCTTTCGTCCCCATGCAGCCAGGCCAACAATGACGACTCCCCCTTTCAGAGGCTTAGGCCAGTATCAGGTGTTGCAGGCTCAACGCCATTTCTGACATTTTTAATTGAAAAAGCTTCCTGGATGGGAAGAGTTCATGCAGCGAGGCTAAGGCTTTATCCTGCTTTCCCTGCCTCCTTTTTCAAACGTCAGGATCTGATGGATAAAGACAGCTAGGACTGATTTAAACCAGTTTGCAGAACATTTATAAATGTTGCTTTTAGTTGGTGGCATTGATGTAAATATACTGATGTAATGCCTTAGTGAACATTTAATTGTTTATTTATATACGTCTCTTTAGAAGTTATAGCGCCCCCTGTAGAAAACCTCTCTGGGTCCAGGTGGTTTATGATCGTAGCTTTATTAGAGATGAGAACAGACGGACGGACGGACGGACGGAGCGCCTCAGGGCGTAACCCGTTATTGCAGCGTCTAAATCAAACTGTTGCTCCACTAAATCTCCTGATGAACAGAAAGCTTCAGTGTTTCCAGAAGACGGCTGCTGTCCCTGCAGAGGAGGGACAGTAAATCACAGGCAGGCAGCTGTGAGTGCTAATTACTGCACTGGTGTGAAGACACGGCTCAATCCAGCCCAATGTGTGGCGGGCAGCTTGTGGCTGCGTCAGGCCGCTTGTGTGTGGGAATTCCCCTCGTGTTCAACATGTGCACGTCGGTCGCCTGGTTCTTTCACACATCAGTGAGATGCAGAGACAGAGTTATTACACCGTGGATAGCTTCCCTCATGGCGCAGCTGCCTCCATGGTCAGACACGACAGGCACAGCTATTCATTAGGCCGGCATGTTACTAAACCAGGACTATGGTTTATGGGACAGTTTGGTGTGGGGAGAAATCCAGCCTTGATTCATCTGCCATGACCCCAGGCTTTGATGGGATATCCTTCCATATTCAGAACAGGAGGGATGGCTGAACAAACACGCTTTATGAGACTGAAGAAGGTAATGACAGGATGAGGATGGACAAACGCTTCGATCTGAAAACCTTTCTCAGAAAAATGCTGAAGTAGGAGATGCTGACTGAACTCATGGCGAGGGGCGGAGTCTGGGCTCTACTTCATCGCTGATCAGATTTCTCTCCATCAGTTAAACCATTGAATCCGTTTCTTCAGATTTCAATGGAAACGTAGCTATAGAGTGAACAGATATTCCATCAGTACAAGGAGTTTCCAGAGTCATACGGAGGAGAGCGCCACAGAGAGGCTGAAGCTGGTCACATGAGGGCGTTAAAAGCAGAGCTGGATTACTTCTATAACATCTCCAGAAGTTCAAAGTTCATCGCTACAGCGACGCTGAATGACGTTCTGGCTCTGAGCGCCCGCTGACGTCACGGCCAGCCCTGAACCAGCACCACCAGGGGGCGCTGGGAAACAGAATACTCTGAGAGACGCCATAAAACTCCAGCGGCGTCCAAACGAGGCAGCAGAAGCCAGAGCGGCCATGACGTCCAGGTCGACCTTCATGCAGGTCAATCACACATTAAAACCATGCTGAGATGAAACCTTCCAGCTTCATCCTGAACCTTTCTGACCGATTCTTCCCCAAAAGCATTGATGGAGAATCAAATGTTTTTAAAGACAAACAAACTGATTCATGAGTTTAAATAGAAACATCTAAACAAATGATGTTTGCTTCAAACAGGAGTTTGAAGCAAAGAGCAGAAATAATGATTTTTTAAACATTTTTGGAAGAAGGATTTTAGAAACTAAGTATTATGAATTCCAGCTGATCTGTTCATCTGTGCTGGGAATCCTGCACTAAGCAGCAGAGGTTGAAGAGGCCAGAGAGGAGAGGCTGAAGGCTGAATCAATCACTCCACCTAGTGCCAGTTAGTCAGAGCAGATCCTCAACATGTCTGGCATGGAAACACGGGGAATTTCTCAAACTGGCAACGTACCCGATAATCAAGTCAAGGATCATTGAGGATGATTAGAAAGGACGAGACGCGAAGGAAAACAGAACACACAGTGCAGCTGTTAAAGGAGCACTTCATGTGCGTCCCTCTAATTACACCTCTAGGAATAGATGCACAAATCCAAGGAAACGCCGCAGAGTGCTAGGCGCCACACCAAGAGCTGGCAGCCTCCGCTTCACCCTGAGGAGACTAAAACACACGCCGCTAAGGTTTATTCCTCTTTCTCCAGACCTGCTCTGACTAATTTCATCTTTTTCTAACAGCACCAGTTCAACCACAGCTTCCTATCAGCCACTAGTGGAAGGAGAGCAGTTCAACAGAGCAACCCGTCAGGTGCCGAAATGATCCTTCCTGGAAATCATGGAAAACCTAAAATACTCCT